AAATGTTTCAGATAAAGTACATGGTAGACAGTAAAAGAAAACAAACTCAAATGATATGTAATTAATAATTAATAATTAATAATTAGTAATTAATTAATATGCATTCTTTGTATCAAAAAGTACATGGTAGACAGTAAAAGAAAACAAACTCAAATGATATGTAATTAATAATTAATAATTAATAATTAGTAATTAATTAATATGCATTCTTTGTATCAAAAAGTACATGGTAGACAGTAAAAGAAAACAAACTCAAATGATATGTAATTAATAATTAATAATTAATAATTAGTAATTAATTAATATGCATTCTTTGTATCAAAAAGTACATGGTAGACAGTAAAAGAAAACAAACTCAAATGATATGTAATTAATAATTAATAATTAATAATTAGTAATTAATTAATATGCATTCTTTGTATCAAAAAGTACATGGTAGACAGTAAAAGAAAACAAACTCAAATGATATGTAATTAATAATTAATAATTAATAATTAGTAATTAATTAATATGCATTCTTTGTATCAAAAAGTACATGGTAGACAGTAAAAGAAAACAAACTCAAATGATATGTAATTAATAATTAATAATTAATAATTAGTAATTAATTAATATGCATTCTTTGTATCAAAAAGTACATGGTAGACAGTAAAAGAAAACAAACTCAAATGATATGTAATTAATAATTAATAATTAATAATTAGTAATTAATTAATATGCATTCTTTGTATCAAAAAGTACATGGTAGACAGTAAAAGAAAACAAACTCAAATGATATGTAATTAATAATTAATAATTAATAATTAGTAATTAATTAATATGCATTCTTTGTATCAAAAAGTACATGGTAGACAGTAAAAGAAAACAAACTCAAATGATATGTAATTAATAATTAATAATTAATAATTAGTAATTAATTAATATGCATTCTTTGTATCAAAAAGTACATGGTAGACAGTAAAAGAAAACAAACTCAAATGATATATAATACAGCATTCTTTGTCTCAAAAAGGTAAAAAAATGTTATTCATCGACCTACTGAGCCACTATCCAAATGGGACACGCGTAGACGGGTAATCATGATAAAATGTCTAATTTTTTTGCAGTTTGGTAGATATCAGGGATGACGGAAGGAAAATCCATTTGGATAGACTTAAAATAACGCCAGTAAAACCAATAACGGCGCTTATATGGGAGGAGGGCGTGAAATTGAAATTAAGGGGGGACTGTTCCCCATCAGCCTCAGCCCCCCCTCTTCCACTACCCACCACTCGGCTGTTACTGAATGTACAGTCCAAACATAATGTGTAGCTTCATGTTTGTTCCATTGAAATTTATGATGTTGTTGAAATTTATGATGTGGTGAATGAAATCAGTCGGTCTCTCGTTAAAGCGATCTCGTTTCTAAAAAAAGGTGTTCAGTACATTTGTGTAACAAGCCAGTAAATGACAAATAGTCCATGGCATGTGAGCAGTTTTTTTTAAGTACAAGCAAGAAGATCTCTTGGTATAAGATTAGTCTCAGAAGTGCCGTATTATGTTCCCATGCCAAAAGAAGCGCTTGGTGTTAAAACGTTACAGTTCCATTTGAAATGGAAATTAAATCGGAAAAGTGACAAAAGAAATAACGACGCTACAATATACAAAACCCGTTTATTGTCAAAGGAATGAAAGATAGTAGGATACTCTCTACTGGAAAAAAAAAAACCGGATATACAAAAATTAAGCTGACAACAATGTCTTCCTAACAAGTGAGTATTTACATCTCTTGAAAAAGAACGACATATTTTTGAAAACCGTAGAAGTTTATTTAAAAACCTAGCAATTGCTTTGCGTCAAACCGCAAATAGAATCCTTTAAATTTTGCATTCAAAAGAATTTTGTCAATTTGGACCAATTTGCAGTTCAGTGGAGAAATTTTCTCCTACCTGATAAAATTAAATACAAAAATATTGCGTTGACACTTTTAAAATGAAAAATTATTTTGCAGGAGCGTAAAACTATTTTTTTGTCTTTGTTCTATTCAGCAAATTTCCTCAGCAACTTTCCTAAGCTTACGTATTTCTTGTTATGGCGTAGAACGAAAAAGAACGAGTGAGAATTACCGATACTGCCTTCGTCCCTCTGAAAGAAAAATAAACGGTTATAAGAAGGGAAGGAGAGAAAATAAAATTTCTTACATCAGTATCACGAAGAATCACCAATCGCTTTACTGTAGATACAAACGAAACTTTCGATAGCAAGCTCAATTTTTAGAACTGTTCCTGTTCTTTGTTCCAAATCATTGCAGATAAATGACAGAATTTATCCTGCTCTAATCTAAAAAGACCAATTTACTCTCGGTGGTAGCCAACAATGATACTTTTTTTTTTTTTAATTTCGTGTCATCTGTCAAGTTTTCATAATAACCTAAGCAAACGAGGCGCAGATGGTTCGTGCTAAGCGCGAATCACTCTTTGGATCTTAAAATGATTTTCTCGCATAAGAAAATTAATTATGGCACCCTGCAATTTTTTTTCTTAATCGAACTTTACGTTTAACTTTGCCACTTGCAGAGTGCCATTCAGTTCTTGATTGCTTCTTGAGATTTTGAATCGATGTTAAGCAACGGATCAACGAAACATTCTCATTTTAAAATGTTTGTAAGAGTCAAACCCTGAAATATTTGTATAGGGCTGACAGCGTTAAAATAGTCTACAGTTCGTTGTAATAGCCTCAGAAAACAGAGAAAGCTGAGAAAACAAACTGAGTGTCATTGCGTATCTCTTTTCATGCGTTTCTCTTTACGTCGATTGTCAAGGCAGAATAATTAAGACTTCGGTGATCAACAATTGAAATGGCTGATACGAACACTGACTCTGCAAATTCCAGTGGAAATAATGTGGAAAACTCTAACAAAGATGTCTACACGGTCTTTGGGGTTATTTTTATTCTTATTGGACTTCTTGCTTCTCTGGGAAACACAGTTGTCCTTTATGTTGTCAAAAGGGATCCTCTAAAGTGCTTGAAGAAACCGACAAACGTCTTCAACATCGCATTAACAGTAACACACGTCTTTGTGGGAATGATAGTGTCACCGTTTACGGGCATTTTAAATATCTTCCGAGGAAATAACCCCGAAAACCCCCTTCCATCGGCGGTGGTCAATCTGGAGGCTTTCACGCAAAACATCGTTATTGGAACTGCCACATTGTTTTTATGTGCTATATCAACTGAACGATGTACAGCAGTACTCCGCCCCCACTTTAACAAAAGGTGGTTGACCCAGCAGCGAGCGAAATTCGTTAGCATTTCAGCAGTGGCTTCTTGTTTGGTGTTTTGCTCGCTGCTGTTCCTCAACATATCGAAAACGTTTTTCTACATGATCTACCTTCACGTGTTCATTCTCCTCCCAGTTTGTGGAATTCTCATATCGTGTACGGCAAGGCTGCGAAATTTTAAGAAGCAAGCCCGTGTCTCGGTAATTAATAGTGGTCTACCAGTCGCTCAGATATTTGCCAGCGAAACAAGAAAGAGAAATTCCCAAATGGTTTACAAATTGTTGGTGACTTTATTCAGTATCTTGCTACCAATTTTATCAGCCTTGTTTTTGTTTTACGCCGTGAAGCTTGTGGAAATAACGTGCGACAACTGCTTCACGAAGCGATGGTTTATAGTTTTAAATAATATGAGTTTAGTTTCGTTATTTTTGAGTAGTGTATTCAATCCTGTTGTAATCTTGAGGCGTATAGCTGAATACTCTCGATCAATTAGACACATTCTCGGGCAGATCCGGTAACTAATTAAAAGGAAGCATATTCTTTGTCAATTTTTGGAAATACTTCATCAAGTACTTTTTTTCGTGTAAATATGTGCAATAGTTAAAACACTTTACACGAGCCGAAACCCCAAAAAGAGAACACGAAGACTTGAACGTGTCCTTGTTATGCGGCCTTTAAACTGACCTTATGGAAACATTCAATTCAATTTATGATAAACAAATTCTAACAGTTCTACAATGGTGTTGTCTGATCAAGTCCTCTATTGAATATATAAAAATAAATAAATAGTCTTTATTTCACTGATAAAATACATATCAAGTGTTACATATAAAGTGTAATGGGCTAAGATATGTATTAATTACTTACAACTAAGTTATGCTTAAAACTAAGTCTATTAATAAAAGAATTTTTAAAACGCTCAGTATTGCAAAGTGGATATATTGGCTTAACTTGCTCAAGCCTAGGGGTAGCAGAGTTAATCCTGGGAAGGGAGTGGTGCAATGGATGGTGTTCCCACGCGCTTACTTTTTTGAAGATACCTATATCAGACTTATCTAAGCAATTGATAATAGAAACCGGAGAAGACGTGTATCTACGTTTGTAATAACGATCCAGGAAGCATTGTATGGTAGTAAGTTCTGGTGGAGATGAACCATATTCTGATCTTCCGTACGTAAGTTTAGGCAGAACCAGAGCGCTGAATAATTTATCCAACTCTGCCTGACAATAACCCTCCCTCCAAAGAGTTCTAAGACTATATAGGCATTTATTAGCTGCGGTCAACTTATTCTTGATGTGAATAGAGAACCTACAATTTTCTTGAAATGTAACCCCCCAAATACATAGATGTGAATGTTGGGGGATATTCTGTACTGTGTCTAATACATTTTTTGTAGCTCTTCTTTCGGAAAACCATTTCTTTACATTTAGAGAAATCACACTTCATGGAATTATCGATAGACCATTCTGTAAAGTTATAAACTACACGAGCAGCAGTATTGCTATCACTATCACCCTTCCAAACTGGAATGATTAGAGTGGAGTCATCTGCATACTTGAACAACAAAGAGTCAGGGTACAGATTTGTTTCCAGATCATTCATGAATAAATAAAATAAATAGGGGCCACTGACGCTTCCTTGTGTAGTGCCTTTGTTCACGCGGATCCAATCACAAGAAATGCCATTGCAAACAACCCGTTGTCTCCTATCAGTAAGAAAGCTTAAATACCAATTCAAAATATACGGATTAAATGGTAAGAGTTTCAGTTTACAAAATAAAAGATCATGAGATAGAATAAATATATGAAAATCATATATTTATTCTATCTCGAGGATCGTGCCTCATATATTTATTCTATCGCGAGGATCGTGCCTCATACATAAAAGATCATGTTTGACGGTATCGAAGGCCTTACTAAAATCCATTGCAAACACCCTAACTGCATCGCATCCCTTTTGATCCAAACTCCTAAGAATATGATATTGCATTGTAAACAGAGCAAAAACAAAACAGCTGCCACCTTCTCTATAAGCAAACTGTGTAGGGTTTAAACTACTCTCGACAAAGTTCTTGACATAAGACTTATAAACAACCTTTTCGAATGCTCTGGTACGGTGGCTCATAGGGACAAAACACTTGCACAACTACAAAACACTTGCACAAATCACAAAACACTTCCACGAATACAAAACACTTGCACAAATCACAAAACACTTGCACTCATCACAAAACACTTCCAAAGATACAAAACACTTCCACAAATACAAAACACTTCCACAAATACAAAACACCTCCACAAATACAAAACACTTCCACAAATACAAAACACTTCCACAAATACAAAACACTTCCACAAATACAAAACACTTCCACAAATACAAAACACTTTCACAACCTGAATAACTTAATTATCGAACGGTTAGCACGTGCAGACTGCCTCTTGGCTTGGCTACTAAGGCTCTAAGGCCGGGATACTAAGGTCAGTTCGCACTTCACGGGGCGAGAAAACTTCGAACTTCAACTTGAAGGTGAGTACGTGGTCTATCGTATATTTTAATGCATTTTTTTTAATTTTTAATTTTTTAATTTTTCAATTATTTTTTAAAATTTTTTAATTTTAGTCTATCAAATATAGACTAGTGAGCAGCACTTTTGCGAACTGTAGTTGTAAAACTTTTTTTTAATTTTCCGACGCGTTTCGTCTAACTATCGAAGACTTCTTCAGGGAGTTTACAAGTATAACTAAACGCCTGTATTTATAAGCCGAAGTTACGGGGGCCGATGACCATAGAGGCTTGGCCGGACTTACGAACAGGAACAGGCGAAGTTGTGAGAAATTTAAAACGAGTAAGGCAAGGTGAGAAAAATATTTTGGGGGCCACGGTCTTAGATTATTGGATATCTTATTTTTCGTTTCATTTTTATCTGAAGTAAGAGTGGAAGCAGACGATTCAGAGTTGGAGGTTTTCTTACAAAAATTAATAAAAAAAAAAATAAAAAATAGAACCAAATGTTGGAAAGAACAAAATCAAGAAAATTTAACATCCATAATTGATTGCAGGTTTTAGTCCGATGCTTTATTAGGGCTTTTGTCCCTTTTCGTTCCAACTCGTTTCCAGGGTCCTCTCAATCTTCCGCTGGATACTAGAGAGGATCCTGGAAATTAGGATAGAGAAAAGGACTAGGCGAGTACAATTCTTAAGTATTAGTATATATTTTAAGCGCTTTAAAGAAAGGGGAAAAATACCGCTTTATTCTTATTAACCATCTTGATTAACAATGTATTGGTTTAAATAAACTATTGTCACACGAGGTAGTCGTGTTGTGCCTCGTTAGCGCAGTAGGCAGCGCGTCAGTCTCATAATCTTGTGCGAAATCTGAAGGTCGTGAGTTCGATCCTCACACGGGGCATAGTTTTTTTCTTCTAACACAATCATATCGCTTTTTACTTCTAGAATCTTAAGGTAATAAACTTTCGTTTATAAAACTCATAATTCACTAATTTTTTTTCTCTCAACAGGTAAGTCTCATATTTTTTCTAAAATAATGAAAATTCGGTCCGTTCGATACTCGTTTGATTATGAGAGCCGCCTATAATATTTCGTAGAGGTTCTACAAAATTCTCAAAGAAAACCTGATTTACCCTTCTATTTATTTTTTCCTAGATTTTTTCTATCCATATATATTTTTTATTAATTGCCAATGGTGAAATCAGAATAAACTTTTCTGGAATGTAAACCGTTCGACTCGAAAATTGAGTCAACTTGATTAGCATTTTCCTTTGACATTTTATGAAATGTTTCTCGTCCAGCATGAATTATCAGAAACTACATCTGTCCCAGGTTGACAAGAAAAAAAAAAAAAAAACAAAAAAGCAAAAAACAAAAACGTAGATTCACTTAACTCTAACCCTAACCCTAACCCGCTAACTTCTAAATCAATTTCTGTTCTCTTGGCAAAGACTCAATACAGAGTCCCGCAGCTTCTCAGCGGGCTATCGGGCCAAGTGAATTATTCCACTGATACAGGCTAATTAGCAAGTTGGGCAACCTGCTCGGGTACCTGCTTTGAAATTTTAATTGAAAACGAGTGAGTACATCGCTCTTTGCTGGTATAGTCAATTGATGGTAATCATTAATGAAAAAACAAGTAAATTGTTCTATCATCTAAAATTAAAGGCTCCCCAGCTATCAATTTATATCTAGATATATAAAAAAAAGCGTTCATCATCGACCTAAAAAAACTTCCAGGTCTCAAACAGGTGATTCGTCCTGGAACTCAGCCGGCGACCTACAAATGTCATCGCGTGAAACTGAATTTATTTAGGTAAACTTTAATTATCGTCTTGGTGAGTCAAAACACTTCTCTCCCTTCAGTGTTTCAATTATGGAAGATAAAGCGTTCGCCGGTATTCCTGAAAATTTACGCATCGGAGTCTGTTCTACAGTAGCGACTCTCTACTTAACTGCATCGGTTTTCACCCTTACATTCAATGGCCTGTTGCTGTTTGTTATTTACAGAGATCCTCTTAAGTGTTTTAGGCGACCCTTTGCGGTTTTAATCACAGGACTCGCAATTACTGATGCTACCGTTGGAGCTATTGGCGACACCACCTCTGCAAAGAATGAGTTTTACTGCATTAAAAACCGGGACGGACACACTTCGTTTGACTACGTTATAGATTATTTCATCGATAACTCCGCTACAGTCCTTGTGGTTGCTTTGTCTGTTGACAGACTTACTGCGGTTGCCTTTCCATTTTTTTATCGCTTCTCCATAAAGAATGTCCACTCTGTCATAGTTGTCATCTCAGTTTGGCTTTACTGTTTGGTTTTCAGTTTACTTCGGCTTTCTAACATTCCGGAGGAGATCTACGACTCCATAGATGTACATCTTCACGTAACATTTGCGCTCTCTACCACAGCAGTAATATACTGTGTAATTTACTTTATCATCCCAAGAAGAAGAAAATTATTTCCGGGGGAAGAGATTTCAGGACAGAAAGCCGAACAACATCGCCGAAATTTGCAACGTGAAAATGAATTTGCCTTCACAGCTTTTCTGATTCTTTTAGTTTTGGTTCTGACACAGATTCCATACCTTGTTTTGACAGTAATTGAGTCGAATTGTGAAAGTTGCCTCGGGAGTCGGTGGTTTTTTGTGACGAATAAGTTTTCAGATTTCTTGTTGTGTGTGAGTTCCATTGCGAACCCGTTCCTATACGGATGGAGAATGAAACAATTTCGGAATTCATTCCTGGCGATTTTTTGCAGATCTCGACTTCGTCAAACAGACATGGAAATATCGAAAACTGCCACGCAGGAGAACGAAGGAACAATGGAGTCTCAAACGTGATGAAACCGAAAGGATGATTTCAGTTAGCTTACTCCTTATTTCCGTTTTTTGTCAAGTGTTATCCACTGACATTCGGGCTTAGTTGTGTTGTGTTAAAAGATAGCGAGCATGAAGATATTGTAGTTTTTCGAATTTTCTGAAGTGATAGCAAAGACGAGCCTGTGGGGGTAGGGGGTGGGAGGGGGGCGCACAGAGGGCTTTTGGCCCCCCACCTTGTCACGAAAAATTTGATAACTCATAATGATAAAACCCAGTTGTCAATAAGACACCATTATAGGACCAAATGAATGAAGGGGAAGGTGGAGGGGTAAATTTCTTAAGTACCTGTGGTGCTACATCAGTGGGGTTATAAAAATATAACAATTTGGTTTTATCAACTGAGTTGATGTGTCCACCATCCAGAGATTCTAAAACTATTGGAAGATTTCCTGGGAATATAGCCCCCTGTTTTGTAAACTAAGGGTAATAATTCACTCTTAATTCGATAAAATAACCAAGCGAGTGATAATTCACTCTTAATTCAATAAAATAACCAGGCAAGTCCACTGACAAATGACACTAAAATACTCTAAGAGGTTCCCACTTTGTGAAGACAGAGAGATAATTTACAATGGCTAAACAATCCAATATATTCCCAAATAATAGTACAGTAGTGTAGTGCTGGTGTAAAAGTCCCCCCAGATGGAAAATGATCTTATCATACTATCCTCTTGCAATTGAAAATAAAAATTAATTATTCATGTTTTCCTTATGTAAGTACGATAATACAAAGCCGGTGAATAGGACTCTTTTCCTTCCATTGAAACGAAGAACACGGAAAAAGCTGTGTTTTAGTAATTCTAGTGCCAAAGTTATTTGGCAATCTCCCTGCTGACAGTCAGTGAATCTCTACACTCCAAGCTCTGAACTACGTGATTGCTTAATTTTTTTTTTAATTTAATTTTTTTTGGGTATTTCCGTCAAACTGTCATTCATATCGCTTGAGTACACTATTTGCTAGTCACAAAAACGGAAGGGTAACAACAGTTCTTTTTTGTAAATTGTGAATTCAAAATGTCTATCCGTAAAAGATACTTCCTTTGTGACGCATGAGATTTGAGAAGTTCTTCCGTGTGAGGAAGACAAAAGCAGCTCACTTTTGTCAAATAACGCTTTTCCGTCATAAGCCAAGAGTTGTATTTGTGACTGTATTCCTCTCTTGCAACGCTTAGCGCTTTCTTATCAACATATCGTTACCGTATTCTAGTTTGGACTGGCAGGCGATTTTGATACAATTTTTTCCAAGAAGATTTATATCGCAGGTAATTTATTGTGTGTTTTATCATGACCGACTGTGGTTATTCAGCTCTATAAATTCAAGTTATGAAACTACTTATTCGCTGTAGTGTTTTATGAGCAAGAAAATTTGTACCAGTAATCATTTACAGTGGTAAGCATGTGACGAGTTGAGGCAAACACTCGACGAGTCCGAGTTTTGTTCAGTGCTCGCTGATGGAGTTAATGGGCGATTTTGTTTTAAACACAACAAGATGGGCAAAGCCCCAGATTTAAAATTGAAAAATATAGTTCCTGAACTGGAGGCCCGATGAAACCGAATAAACTCAAACCCAATCCCTTCTCTATTCGTCAACGCGTAGCATGGCGGGAAAATACAAACCGCGCATGTTTTTGAATAGGTTTTTGTGCATCGCAGTGTTTCGGTTTGTATTATTGTAAACATCCACATTTCCAGCTTTAAAGTTATTCCACCTACCTCTCTGCAAGTTATGTCGTTTGACGGTTATGCAAAGGACGTCTTTGAAAGTTGGAGCGATGTTGGCGTGGTTTACACGCGAAACAAATATGGCCGAGTAGTTTCACCTCCTGGGTTTTCGATAGGCTGCGAGAACAAGCATTCCTTCAAAAATAATATCCCCAAAGGTACTGGCTTTTCTTTTTTTGTTTTCATTAATGACAGTATATTTGCTTTATTTTCGTATGTGAGGATGTACAAAGTGCTCGACACGTACCGTACATTAGCAAGTGCGCAAAGGAAGGCGACATCCGTTGGCAGTTAACTTTGGCAAGATTTCCTGAAATCAAGGGTGAAATGTTGGAAAAAAATATTTGATCCTTTGACTCTCGAGATCTAATTACTAATTCTTCTTACTGTCAGATACAGTGAAATATATGAAGTTCATATATTTTGAACTGCGGTATTAGATACGTATGATGCACGATCCTCGAAGTAGATAGCGCTATTTAAGCAATAGCGAAAATCAGACCTGAAAAAAAAAACACAATTCCTATGAGATTAGTTCTGGGAATTTGGTATTGTAAACTAATAATCAACTAATTTCTATTTTTCTCTAGTATAATTGTTCCGGTGATTATAGAGATGCGCGCGCTCTGATTGGTCGAGGATTACGTCACATCTCGCGATCGCCTGCGTAAGATGGTTATAGCAGGAGTACTTAATTTCAAAATGACTGCCCCACGTTTTGTAAATGATTCCAAGGTAGTGACAAATGATAGAAGAAAAATCAATTGCGAAGGAAGCAAAAGATGCCACTGAGTTTGGTGGAGAAATACATGATGTTTAAACTGATTCAATTTAATATACCTTTTAAAACTGCTTGCTTATTTTGATGAGTCATCAGCACAGTTGCAACAAAAAATGCGTAATGCATTCTTCATTTACAGAATTTACAACATAGTTATATAATTTGAAAGCTCATAAGCAATTACACAAATACAGTTATTCACCTTAGGCTCAGTGAATACTGGTATTGTTGAATAATCCCCTAGTCTTTGTCACAGGGATTATGCATTAATATTCACTTTGTCCACGGCAAATAATTGATAGTTATTTGCATTACTTGTTGCCTTGTATTGTAAAGAGAAAATTGGTCTTGGTCATTCATGGAAGTGAAAGGGGTCAACAAAAAAAAAATATCTTATTGTTGCTATGGTTATGTAGAGTCTTGGAAAAGAAAATTATTAGTAGGTAAAATGAGGTGATATGAAAGCAAATTAAAGATTTTTCCAAGTATTTCTCATACTCGATTGCAGCTCTTGTGCCACTTTTTTGTTCTTACTGCATTTTGATGTCACCTGTGATCTGTTACAGAATAGACACAGTGCAACATGGAATCCATTTCTTAAATTGAAACTGGAGAAAGTGTGATAATTTCTCAATATCTAGATAATAAATGGATTTAATATTCCTTGCAGCAGTGCCTCTACATACTTCGTGGTGGTATATCCACAATCACTTAGGCTACAGGAAAATTACCTGTACAAAACAAGTTTATTTGAACAATTATAATTTCTCCTTTTTCATTTTGTGTCATTCACAGGAGCAAAGTGTTCATATACTATTAATAACAACATCTACAATCCTCATTCCCTGTTTCTTATTTGCCTGGATTTTGTCGCCAAAAACATACGTCTGGTGGAATCATTGGAAGAATTTCCAGATATTGTAGGAGAACAACTTTTCCAAAAAGTCCAAGAGAATGATGGATTTGGAATAAATCCCAGAAATATGAAGATATTTTGTGAAGCATATGGTGAATTGGTTTTATCAAAGCTGTCACTTAGCTCAGCACATGTATTTACAAGTAACTATTTGGAATATCTTCAACTGTTTGTGTGTCTGACAGAGCTTGATGTCAGTCATTGTCATCTAGGGGATACACATGAGCTGTTACTATATATTGCTCATTTACACAGGTAAGTACAGTGTATTGCATCACCAAATTCTCTTTACTAGTTTTATTGTTCATTAGCCTGAAGGGAGAATTTACTACCCAGATCTTTGAATAGCATAGCAGCATAATGGTAAGCCAGTGTTCTTGGTGAAAATTACAGCTGCGATCTTTGATTTTAACAATAGCAGAAGGCTGGGTACAAAGAGAAATTTGGACTAGTGGGGTGAGAAACAGTCTATGGGAAGTGACAAGAGGAGAGGTTGGGACAGTAGGGGGTGTTAAGCTAGCGATCCTCTTTCCCTTTAGATTCTTGTCTGCACAATTTGTTGAAGGACATTGAGATAATTTGAATAAAAATATTTGTTATCACAAAAGTCTCAAAATGTGAAAGTTTTTTTATATCATCAACTTAGCACTATTATCAGCTGAATATAGCTGCATCTCTTTAGTTTCTTCAAATGGTCTTTTGGATACATTGCCAGTAATTGGAATGATCAAGTTTTCTTCTTACAATAAAAATCTGCGATAAAATATTTTTATTGTAAAATCTTTTCACAAATCTTTACTTCAAGTTTTCTTAGAATATAAATTGAATTAGATGTCTATAAACCTTCATGTGTTGTGACACAAAAGTCATACATGCAATCATCATAGATTTACACCTAAACTGGTAATTAGTAATTATGATTTTTTTCATGCAGCTTGAAAAGCCTTAGTCTCAAAGATAACTGCCTCTCTGATGCTGGAGTGAGACACTTCACTTTGCCTCAGCGCTTTTTCAAAAGTGGACTTGGAAAGCTTTCAGTGTTAGATTTATCCTTGAATCAAAATATAACAGATGCAAGTGTGAAGCACATAGCCAAGTTGCATTCATTGACTGCCTTAAATCTATCAGGCACAAGGATATCATTTGGTCATGGAGTTCTGCAGCTTATGAATGATACCAACCTGTGTCTAGCACTGGATGTAAGTGGTCATAATGTTAACGCAGTAGGGAAGCTTTTTGGAACAAATTTTACTTTGCTGAGTGTGTGATTAGTCCAAAACACTTGCATTATAGTTTTAAAATGCTGACCAATTGCAACTTAGTCACCCACATTTTCCTACAGTTCAAAAAGTTTTTTGTTTTTGCTCTGTTTCCTTATTGGGTCTTTTGTTAATTGTCCTTTTCTCTGCCTGGCTGTTTTGAATTCTTGGGTTTTGATTTTAGGAGGCACATTTTTGGGGGAGGGGGGAAAGAGGGAATTATAACCTGCAAATGAATAATTGCCCAATCCAGCAGGAATAATAATACTCCTTATTATACATTTTAGTCACCATCTCTCTTAAATGCCCACAGTTAATTCTGGGAAACAGTGTAACCTACAGATTATTCACTAATCTGTACCTACAGATTAGTGAATAATCTGTAGGTTGCGTGTGCAATGCATGATTACCGGTGGAGCAATATCAAGTTCACGGACAGCAAAGTAAGAATGGCTTCTCCATTTGCTTCATCGACCCAGCGAGAAATTGAGAAATTACTTGAAGATAAAGATTTGGAAAATACTAAAAGATCGACAAAAGTGGTGAAGGAACTGTTCTAGGAATACCTTATTCCAGGAGCCACACGACTAAAAGGAATTAGCCCAAGTGAAAATTTGTTTACAACACAGTTGTATATTTTTAAGTGTTCAAAATTAAACTGTGTTTGCTGCAATAATGTGTTTGGCATTATTTTCTTTAAAACAATGTATAATAAAACAATTATTGGATGAGGTTTTTGTGATATCCGGAATAATCAAGGTCTTGGCTAGTGTTATCAGCCAAAGCCGTCAGCTTCGGCCGATAACACTTACCTCAACCTTGATTATTCCGGATATCACAAAAACCTCATCCAATAATTTTTATAATTCCCTCATGCTATGAAAACAAGGATAAACTTTGGCCAGATGGGCCACTTGATTTGATTGGTGATGTTACCTTAACCTTTTACCTTTCTTGCAGTAATTAAGTTTCCTTGCCCAAAAGCAAATACAATGACCATGGGCCCATTTCTCAAAGGACCTGACTAAACAAGCCTCTACAGGTGTCCTGTTTTCCTTCAAGATGAGGGTTTCAAAATTTTTGAAAATTGTACATTAAAACTCTCTGGTTAGGGTCCCAGAACCTACTTTTCTATTCCTTTAATTATGGTTTTAAAATATGGCTTTGGGCCTATGAAGTTACAGGGACTTTCGAGAAAGGGGTCTCAGGGCTTGGCTGAAACCTGCACTTCTCCATTCAGTCTACCACACCAGCCACTTGACTGCTGTCAAATTAACCAGATGATTCTGATAGACAAAAAAAAAAAAAAAAAAATTCCCAGGGAAATTTTTTCTTAAATTTTAAATGGGATGACTATGGCTCTTCAATCAGTGATCTGCTTAAACAGAAAAGTTGTACATGTGTATAGAAAACTTTTGTTTCATTGTCTTTGCCTAGTAATGTGATTCAATACCACTTTTGTTTTATTTCCTGTCAACAACAGCTTGAAGAGTTCAAGCAGGAGAAAGCCTTTACAATAACTGAAGGATGGGCTGTTGAGGTGATAAGTGAATGGAAAGAAAAATGTAAAGTCTGCCATGCAGATGTCACAATAGATACACAGCTTAAAAGGAAAACTACCAAGTTCTACAAAGCCTCGCACCCCCACTTGGTCAGTAAGTCTGCACCCAAGAACAAGAACACTAGTGAACTCCCAACAATTATGCTGTGTACAAAAGAAAACAAGATACCTTGTTTTAAACCTGCAACAATTCAGAGAATGGCAACATTACAAGGACAAGAGGGCAAGAACAATTCTCCCAGAAATGGGCAAACCAAAAAGAGGTTAAAAACAAGTGGAACTGACTTTACACTGTCTAACATTACAACTGAAAATTGTTTGGAAGATGATGTCATTAACGATTATTTGAAATGTGAAAAACAGTGGAAGCCTGTAAAGAGGAAGTCTTCTCTGCTAGAGTTGTTAGATCATGCCTCATAGGTAAGTAAACAAAGAAGTACTGATAGTTATTATAGTTATATTTATTGTGTATGTCCTTGTTTTGGACTTTATTCCAAGTTAATGGTATTAGTATTGTGGCTCTTTCTGTTTATTTTCACAGTATAAAAAGTTTTCCTAGTATTCCCTAGTTTAAGTCTTGCTTGAAGAGAGACTTTGTACAACAATAGCTGTAAGGATTTTTAGCAAAAGGGTGGGGAATATGTAGGCAATGAAAGGGTGGTAAAGCTGTGTTCTCCTTTTCAGGCCTTAACTGGTAAAATTTATCACCTGCAGTACCTCTTCTTATTGCCTAAAATTGCTTGGAATTCTTTAGACTTCAAGGGATTGCTCAACCAGTTTGAAAATTTCTTTCACCTGTTATGGTTAAAATAAAGTAGAACACTGGTGAAGGTTGTAAGGTTACTACAGTTGTCTTCTGTAACTTGCTAGAGAGTCCTACAGCACACCGAAAAAAACAATATCCTCAGTTAATTTTTTTTTCTGTACCACATGTATATGGTTAAGGTAAAAGCACATCACAACCTGCACACCATATTTATTAATTTTTTTTTAATTAAAAAGGTAAATCTTGCTATTAACATTGCGCATGTACTCTTACATTGATACCTTAAAGAAGTATAACAAAACTACATAGGTGCAAAGTGCATGGTTTTTTTGATGACTGAGAGAAACAGACAAACAATAAGTGGAGGTTATAAAATTATGGCAAAATATTGTCTTACTTAAATGTGCGGCTAACTGTAAGACGTTGTGCACTGACAAAATACATTTTGTGAAAGTGTGATCTCCTCAGAGATATTTACAGTCTGCAACTGCATTCCAACTGTATATACCTTAATGTAATCCCTTCTATCAAGGGAATGATAACAAATGCCTAATGAAATCTTTGCATAAAAATGCCTCATGAAATCTTTACACAAAAAAGGATGTAATTGGTAGTCTTTAATGGATGGGCTACAAATTGAAATAAGTTTTAATTGGTCTAGTGCTAGTGTTGGTCTAAATGGAAACCAATGAAGCTTTTTTCATTCTGAATTTTTTTATCTTAGGGTATCACCTAGTTAAGTTTGTTCTTAAACCTCATTTACTTTGTGGACATTTTCAGTATGAGACTGCTATTAATCAGACTGTTATTAATATGATATGAACCATTGTTTTTAAAAAAGAAATTGGGACTAATTTCATGTAATTTGGCTACAAATCAGAGAAAATAATTGCCTTCAAGGTAGAAGTTGTTGGTTGGGAAATATCTTGATAGTGAAAACTTCAAAGGCTATTGTACAAACTATGATGTTTCTATTTTCCCTAGGCCCAGATTAAATTGCAATAAATTATTAAATGATTCTCTTCAAGATGCACAAAACTACTAGTAATTATACAATATTTCTAATTGTAACTGTACAAGATTACCAAAACTATCCATTAATCTGTCTTAGTGTTTGGTGCTTGCATGCCCATGCAAGTTTAATTAATGTTCTTCATCCTCAATTCCTACATTTAATTGTGGAAATGTCGAAAAGAATATCCTCTACCATTCAGAGTAACATATTTATCAAAATAGAAGACTCTGATTTTCATGCATAAGGTTGTTAAATTAATTTTCACTGTTCACAATCTGGTTATAAACAGGAACAGCTTTCAAAAAATAAATTGACTTTGTAAACTTTGAACATAGTTGACCTAAAAGTTATTTCAGGGCTAACTTAACTCAACCGTCAAGTTTTACTCTTTGCATTGTACACATGATTCTCAGTCTACAAAAGTGGATTTCTTTTAATAACCTCATTCTTCTAGAACCATTTGTACTCTTTTCTTTGTAATAAACTGGTTTTTTTTTTTGCAAGTGAAGCTGATGTATTATTAACTTTTTTGTACATCATATATGCACCTTATAAAATTAAGCTGTTTTTGTAATAAAATAGCTTTCTTTTCCAGCCTTAGATATCTCCAGTATTTCCTGTATAATATCCTATTATACCATGTTTTCTAGTCAATAGTTCTTCCCAACCAGATCCTTGCAAAGTTACTTCATCGGATAATATCCTAAGAGGAAGCGTTAAACCCTTGAACGAAAAGAATCTGCTTCACAGCCTATTTTAATGCTTCTCCAGAAACATCCCAGACTTTGAATTTTTCTCCTGGCTATCAATATGCACTTGATAATGGCTTTAGTGTGTCTTCAAATGTTGGTATCTCCATGCTACTTAACATTTGAGTGAAATGAAGTGCGCCAGGTTCTTCCTCTGGAGTTGGTGTGCTTGCCCTAGCAACAGGTTGCAAAGGTGGTGGATTATATTGCCCATAAACACTTTCTGCTGCATACCAAGCTCTCTGAGCATCCAGGTGTGCCTGAGCAAAACTACTTTCAAGTGCCATTTTTTTCTCAGTGGTCTGACGCAATGTATCCAGTGTTTTCTGCCTCTTTCTGGCCTGAAACTCATCCACATAGCCAAACTCTGGTGGAGGTCGTGTCACTCCAGCACAGAGCAGATCTCTTTTTGATGATCGATTTCCTCTAGGTTTCTGTTTAGACTACAGAGACAAAATGAGGACAAAGATTCAGAAACTGATAAAGTCATGAAAATTCAAGCCACCTTAATATGGGTTTTAATTGTTCAGTTTCCCTTGATATCTAGGTCCCATGAGGCCTATGATAACCACTGCATGAAGAAAACTAAATGGCTTATTTGTTAACTCCCACATTCTGAAGAATGTAGTTCATCTTTCAGTCTCAACAAAACAGCATGTCAGATTATCAAGACCAAACCACAACTCCAGAATCTCTGTTTGCAACTAGTCTTTGCTAAATTTTTAAGCTAGGCACTTTATGCCTGTCTTACCTTCCCATTTGAGTTCTGCTGTGGCATCTTTCCATTAGCATGTTGTTTGAAGTGTTTTCTTAGTGAGCTAGGGTCTGTGTATCTCTTGGGGCAGCCAGGTACTTGACAGGCATATGGTTTCTACAAAAATGTAATGAATTAAATGATTATGCCACTTGTATAACTCTTCAATCCTTGGATGTTTTCTGGTTAGTCACCAGTAAATAATTAATGTAACAAAAACAAGAATTGTTCAGGGGTGTCATTTTTTCTGCAGTTAGGGGAGGGGCAGTCTGGGGAGGGGAATGTCAAAACATTTCTTTTTAACAATAGCTGCCTTGGCAATCTTGTTTCATAATTGTTGTTGTTATACTTCAAAAATAATTTCTGGTGAAATTGGATTAGTTTTGCTTACTTTTTTTTTTTTTATGGAATACGGTATTATACTTAACTGGTTGTCAGTGAACCCGACACTACAACTTAGAGATACAGTTATGGCCTATGAGTATGCCAATAATTTCGCACCCGACTACTTATGTAACAAATTACAAAAACGCACCACCATACATGATTGAGCCACATGGCATAGCAACAAACTTCAGATCTCTTTTTATAAGTCGGCGAATGGTCAACGAACCTTTGCCTATAGAGCAGTTTCACTATTAAATTCCCTGAGTAGTGACCTAGTGAACTTGCCTTCAGTAAAGTCACTGAAACATTCTTTGAAGGACTCCCTAAAAGGGGCATATTAATAGTCTTTGTATGATACCCATTGGACATATATATTTTTCATTGTTATTACCCTATTTTTCATTTTTATTACCCTCTTTTTAAGTTGTTCATTTGTGATTGTAAATTGTCTATCATTGTAAATAGTTGCTGAAAATCATGTACAGGAGTAATTATTAAAGTTCATTCATTCATTCATATTTGAATAAGAGGAGACAGGTGACTACAAATTATTTTGACCTAAAATTCATTTTAAAAAGAAAAATTGTTACTCCCAGCACTCACCATTTGACTGAAACGGTATCTCCTAGGACGGGATAAGTTATTCTCCCCTTTCTACCACTACTCATTTCCTTTTAAGTTAGTCAAGATAGTCTGATGTATAGTCTGATGTTATCTGAAGATAACAATCTCGATGAATATTTCTACTCTCAACATATGCTTGGAGAGGTTATGTGACAATCTCATATTGGAATTAGCAGTTTAAGTGAAATGATAAAGGTAAAAGTTTTTCGTAGGCTTACCGTATCTTGATGTGTTCTTTGATGCTTAGCCCGATCAGATGAATTTGAAAATGCTTTTGGACAGCCTATGTGTTGGCAAAGGTATGGTTTTTCACCAGTATGTGATCGCATGTGAATCTTCAGATTTTCAAGCCTGGAAAATGCTTTATTACATCCTGGAAACTAAAAGGAAAAAAAAAAACAACAACAGATCAATTACAATACAGCAGGATCTCAAATGATAGGAAAAAATATGATTCTGTCTAAGACAACTACACATTGTAGACTGACAAAATCACTTAAGATGAGGTAATAGTGTCAGGTGTGACACAACTGTTGACTGGTTTCTTAATTATAAGATATTTGTTGTAAATACTGGATGAGACTCTTTAGAGTTAAATCACAGATGTGTGCAAAATTGTAAACTTCTTGTTTTTATTGCAAGTTTCCTTTAAATAAAATAAATACACAATCTAAGGAATGAATTAGATTTGATGGATTCTTGCATTGAAAGTTTTTTTAGGCAGATTGTTTTTGTATAGGTATCTTTAGATATTTGCAAGTCATTTACCATCTTTTAAAACCAAAAAATATGCCCCCCATAAGGGATTACCCTTCTTCACAATGTAGACTACCCAATTTATTTTTGGACTCTAGTGGCAAGAGTTATTAAAAGACATGACAATATTGCATGATTTTATATTGCACTTGCAGAAAATATCCGTAAACTCTTTCTTCTCAGCCCCAAGATATCAGTAATAATATTCCTCATTGTCTGCCATACAATTCTTATAAAGTTTGTGAAGAGAATTTGGTACTGGATTTACTAATAACCCCCTAATTGATATTTTACTTTATTCTCATCAGCTGTTTGCTTGATATTGTATTGATTTTGTAAGGAGAAATTCTGTCTTGGTTACTCATAGGAGTTCAAGGGTTAATTGTATTCACTCTTAGTCTAACTGGAATCAAAATGCTGTTGTTTACAATCTGTAAGTCTTACCACCTGTCAATCTATTACAAACCATTTTTAGTTTTGCTGTTTTGTCTGTTACTTCAAAGCTACAGTTTTAGGTCAACATTTGAATTCAATATTGTTGGTAAGGCACAAAACATGTGTGTTGGATAATATTGTTGAAGTTGTTTTTCTCCTCTGACTTGTTCAGGTTTAAAGATAGGTCACCCTGATGAAACTACTGATGTGACTCCATTCCATCTCTAAGTTAACATGATTTATAGCTCAAGTCTGCTTTCTGTCTATATTACATGCGAATTTAATTTTTACCTTGCCAGATATGCTTTGAACAAAAAAGGTTTTTCTCATTAGATATAAATGGCACTGAAGAAAAGAAAAATTATTTATGTGTCCTATGTCAGCTTTAAACTGTGTTGAACTGACTGTCAAATTATTAAAATATTTCAAACACTTCAGAGCCCAGAACATTTTATTCCGAATTGACGGATAATCTTTTTTTTTTTTATTGTAAGCTCATTCACAGATGTCTAACTTTAAATAAAATTATATTTAGCGCATGTTTTTAAGAAATGCAATCAGTAACTTTTTGGACAGCTGGAGCTTTTTCTTAAAATTAGGAGATGAAAAAATCGTTCAACTCCATCGGAGAGTCCGCAACTAAAATTGTTATCGATTTTCTTGGTTTTCAGATAAATTTGATGAAGCAAATATATTGTATTGTGCAAATTACACTGAAACAACAGAGCTTTTCCTTTTAATTTTAGAATCGTGACAATGATAAATGATGGCATATTACATGTGCTTACTGGTGCCTGCTTTTGTACTCTTACAGACAAATTTTCATCATTGAAAAAGGATTTGTATAGATACGTACTCTTTTGAATTTCTACCGACAGGAAGGCTATTGTCACAGAAAAAAACTTCCCAAAGAGCCACTGGTTAATAATTGCAGCAATCAAATTTGCCGGCGAGTTTTCGTGAAATGGTTCTAAGAAAACAATATACGAGTTGTTTGTTTAGCTGGTTGTGCCTCAATTTAAAATTAAACAAACTGCTGGTCGTCTCAAGTAAAAGTGTAAACTATAATGTCTAAAAGAAATTAATTTGTCTTTACAAGCACAATAGACCACCTCCAAATTTTAGTTACTTTGATTGATATAGTCATGGCGCTCAATAGATGCACGAAAACCACAAACAAACGAGTAAAAGTAATTAAGAAGATATATAGGTTAAATTGTTTATGGGGCCTTTAAATGATTTTCCGAAAAATAGTGGAATTCCTGATTTTCTTAAATTGTCGTGACTCAGGGTAACATTTAATGGAGCTTATTAAATATGCATTTGGGAAAATTTGGCTTTGACGAGGCAGGCAGAATTTTTTATCTCTCTTGTGGCAGGTGTATAAATTTAACACACAAATGAAGCTTATCAATCACTTTTTTGTCTTTGAAAATGATAATTAAGGCATCACTTGAATTTTGTCCTCTAAGAAAATATTAAGAAATACCCGTGAAATTTTAATTAAAAATAACTTCGTACTTAGTCGCTGTGTTTACTTAGAGGGAAACACTACGTCGTACAGAAATGAAGCCTGAACAAAATAATATAAGAGGGTTTTTTTTAAAATAAGTATTGACAATTTGAAATGAAAGGCCTGTATGAACAATTTATCACTTGATACACTATACAAGACAGGTGGTTTAGTAATATGTAAAATCCTCGCCAAAGATTCCGTGACCCGAGAATCACGCTAGCAGCGGGAGCCATGTTTACCCAAGGTCAAATGAAAAGCGTTCAGTGGCGCGGTGCTCTTAAACCTGAACGCCATTGCGCAGCAACTGACTTCAAGTCAGAGTTATTTTAATTTTACGTTAAATTTAATTAAAAGTACACCTTTCGTTGAAAGCGAGAAAACAGCTTGTCGATTATATATCTTATTTTGAAACTTTTCAAAGCCGTGTCTCTTTGTACTTTCGGACACTCCTACAGTATGATACTTTACCTTTTCACCAACGAACTCATCTAAGAAGAATAGATACTTTAAATCGGCAAGGTGTTAAGCTAGATTGCTTTATGTTCGCCTAATTTCTTTTCTCGTGCAGAATGTGCGCGCTTTTCGGATAACCAAGGTATATTAGAGTTAAATGATTGGTTCTACAACAATTGTTTTTTGGCCTCCCGGAGTTTTAACCACATGGAGCACATTGAAACGTTTCGAACATGTCAAATTTTTGCCGAAATTTAAGAGCTAATGCTTGGTCAATGGAACAAATAATCTTCTCTGAGCGTTCGATTACCTTCTTGCCCTCACAAGACTTTATATGATGTTTTTGCGAGGGATTAAATCGTTTCGTGATCTGTTCCGTCTGTCCGATGACAGTCCAAAAAATTTGTTTTTCTTCTCGACTGCCACGAACCGCAAGTATAACAAATATGCTATTGAATTTGAAGCCCCAGAGGCCAGAATGAAAGACAAACAATGTCATTATTGTGTCTTATGCAAATCTCTGTAGAAACCCTGGCGTGAGCGAACGAATGCCTACCGGTCAAGAACGTCACCTATAGCTACGGAACGGTGTTTTTTTGAAATGGAGAAGCGGGTTTTCTTTACCGCAGTCTTGCGAAATTGCGGCTTAAATTTCCTGTACGTATTTCTTGTTGCCTCCTAAAAGCAGAGCCACAAAAGCCGGCCTTGTTTCGCGCAAAGAGAGAGAAAATGTTGTGGCCAAGTCCATGAAAACATGATTGAATTAAGCGCAAAATGGCATTTGAATACCGCTCGTGAGTTCAAGTACGCCGCGCACTAAATGAATTTAAATTTACTTTCTGGGTTATTTTTAGAAATTTCACAAAAACTAAACACCAAGAGCTGTTGTCTTTCTTAAGTGAAGTCGATATTCGACGTGGCGCTCTAAAGATTTGGTGAAACATTTCTCTTGATCGCACAAATTGAGTGTAAAATAATTGACGCGGTCCATATGATAGAACGTTGAAACAATGCAAAACAAATACAAATCGACATAATAAGTTTGTTGTACTACTCACCGTACACTTGTTGGGTTTCTCACCCGAGTGAACCCTCATGTGAATCACCAGTTTATATCTGGCGTTGAAAGCGCGACGCTGTCGGCTACACTCCTTCCAGTAACATATGTAAAGATCATCAGCTTTTCTTTGGTCGATGTGAACCTTCTCTATATGCCGCACTAAGTCATCTTGCTCTGAATAAAGTCCATCGCACCCAACCCATTTGCAAGGGAACACACTGCTCTCTTCGCTGGGAAGCGATTCCTTTATAACGTTTGATGAGCTGGTAGGAGGCTTCTCTTCTTTCACTGAATCCTCTCCGCTGTTCCATTTTTTCTCGTTCTCTGCCAGGGGAGCTTTCTTGTTGTCTTTGTCCGCCGGCGGAGACAAAAACTTACCAAATGTTTGCAAATGTTCTTTGAGAATTTGCTCAGATTTTGTCGTTCGGCTTCCAGACTTAAACAGTGGCGATAATTTGCTCCCCGGTACGACGGTGACGTTGGGAGTGATAGATTCTGCCTGGTTACTCCACACCCGGTAATTCGCAAACGACCTCGGATTATAGTTTTGGTATGCCCTGTTTCTATCATAGGCATAGCCAGGGCTCGGTTCCGTTGGTGAAAGGTCCGAATCGGACTCGCTGTACGGAAAGAAATGCCGTGCTTGTGTCGAATGACATGGACTGCCAAGATCTGAGTCAGATAGCGCGGAGCTCCCTGTTGACAGGGATGGCGAGAAGTTGTCAGCTCGAAATGACTGTTGTCGTCCATTGAAGTAGCTTCCAACGCCATCAGAACCCGAACTTGACCAACTGCGACTACGCGGTGCTTCTGGGTAGCTGTACTGGCGAGCCGGGCGATTTATTTGGCCGCGACTTCCTTGAGAGCTAAACCGAGACTGAGCGACGCCATTCCTGGCGAGTTCAGACACAAAGTTTGCCTTCTCGGCCAGCTCTGATAAGCCCGCTAGAGGGTTTATGTTTACCGGCTGTGGACAGTTCTGGAGAGAGGGAGGAAAGGATTCTACTCCAACACCTTGAGAATAATGCAAAGCAGCATTTTCTGCCGCAAATCCATTTTGCGCGGCGTTCACGTTTGGCAACTTAACACCGCTTGATGTGGACATTCCACCATGTGTATTGTGATCCGTGTAATGATAATCAAACATGGCTGCAGTACTTCTCTCCGGTGGATTAATCAACCTTCCATTGCCGGCGCCACAAGTTATTTCTTCCTGATCAAAAGAGTCATAACTTCTACTGTAATTTCTCATTCTTGACGCTACGGGGTCTTCGTGCGTTTCGCCTGAAAATTTTGGCCCTGACACTCGACCTGCGTAAAGCCCACTTCTAGATCCATACATTATGCTGTTGAAAGGCACAGGGGAGCTCAGAGCCCTGTTGGCCGTCTCTTCTAAAATTCCAGTTTCTTTTCTTTCGAGTTCCGCGGTGAAGGTTTTCACATTGATTTCTTGCAGTTGTTCGAGGTATTTGACTGTGTCTGAATAATCTTTCAAGGTTAGATCGGTATTTTCTCCTCTTACCACATTCCCCTATAAAGTTCAAATAACAAAGTAAACAAGGATAAACAACTGGTGAAATGAGCAAAGAAAAAAAAATCTGCTGTCCTTTAACTTCTGTAAGCCAAGCACTTGGTAATTGGAAAATAAATTCTTGGGAAAACGATCTCGGCTATTGTGGTTACCTTGACTTCAAATGATTCTGCCGTTAAAACCGCGCTCGGCCCCGTTCAAACGCGCCGAGATGTTAATACGCTGTAAAAGCATGTAAATTACTTAAGGGAGGCAGACTTTCTCTTATCTTTACACACGAGTGGAAATAACAATAGAAATGCTAAACTGCAACACTAGAGTCTACCACCTGACTTGTGTGATCGGCCCGCTTTACTGCAGGAAACCCAATTTGATTGACACCTATTCTTATCAGTTGCCATGGAAACTAATTAAGGCTTATTAAATTTCGCCGCCTCACCAATCAGTTGTCGGCGCTCGTTCCTGAAAGGCGGAGAGTCGTTTTTTTTGCGCTGTCTTTAATGATCATTGGTCTAGCCTTTGAATGACCGTCTTGGCTTATCCTAGGGGCAAAGCGACTATGCCAGAAGTCCAAATGCCCCCGAGGTGGTTTGATAAAGATCTCTCTATTGCTTTGTACAATCGCATTCATTTAAGGTGCGCATTTGAAGAGTTTCATTAAACCTGACGCGAGCTTGACAGTTTTTGACAAAGGCTGAGTTACGTACCATTTCCGGTATTTGTTTGCCATAAACGCGTAATTTTCGAACCAAATTGAGGTTTATTAGTTTAATATTTTACCCATCTTCTCGTCACAAGACATAAAGCCTCTTCAGTGTCTAAAACCAAAAGCTGTCGGACAAACACCTCAAAAGAACCTTGACATGCAGACAGTTTATGTTAAACCGTTCTTAAACTTACGAGAACCTCTCTTCTCGCTCGTTCTCCCATAGTTCATATCAAAGTATATCAGACCGACCGGTAGATAAGTTTATTATTCATCATCCCTGTGGCAACACTGAAACGACCACTCCTCTGCCTATGGCGAAGCGAGATAGCGAGCCATTAAAGCAAACCGCCCCTTACAAGATCCGTTCCTTTAATAGCTGTTTTATTTTCAATGAAAAATCTTCTTCCGCCGGGCGGATCATTCAAAACGCGCACAAGAAAAGCGAGGATGTCTTCTTATTGCTGATCGCAAGTAAAACATATTTGCTTCGCATTAAACTTCTCCTCTTTAGCAAACAGATGGGAACAGATGGGCATTGTGATAACCCTATCGAAAATCGAGCGTTTTTTTTTCGGGTGTATTGAAAGTTCCAGGCTTGCCTCTCGCTTTGAATTAACTAAACATGACTTTATAGTTACCGAAGCTCGCGAGATCGCCGTATTTTCGGCTTGGTCGTGTCAATATCAAGAGAAACAGCCGAACGGTACCTTTACAACGTACTTGTTTGTGGCCGATTGCTTGTGTTTGGTGAGTTCTTTGCTGTACAGTTGCTTTTCTGTCTTCGTGACACAATTACTCGTTACGTACACGGTAAATTACTTAGAATAAGAAAGCAAACTTGGTGGAAGCACTCCGAAAATGACAGGAAGCCTCAAATATTTGAAGCAGCTGCGAATCGGGTCTATGCCGCGTTAAAAGATGCGTTGAACTCCTATTAACTCGCCAAGTGAGCTCTCCAGTTCACGCCAGCTTCCGAGGCCGAGATGTCCCTATCGTGATAAAAGCCCTGCTTCTTGTAACATTTCTAAATACTCGATTTCTTTTTGAGTTTGATAACATCACTGGAAAAAACCGTAAACTAATTGACTTAGCACTCAGACTAATTTGATAGAAATCTTACCTAAAGTACAGGAGAATAACCTCTTGTTATTTTTCGCCACTCTTCAAGGATTTAGAAATCTTAGAAAACTGCTATGTAACATTCGATGCTTATTTTCCCCGCCAGACGATACGAGGTCGCATAAGCAGGCGTATTTACTTGGCATATGGTTTATATCTCATGCTAACGACGGAAACATTGACCTAACAAGAAGTATCAATTCGCAAAAGCGCGTTTCCGGTGCATATACAGGTAAAGTTTGGGATGTGCGTGACTTGTTCCGCGCTGAAAAAGATAAAAGCTTTGGTTTACCACACTCTGACCCTAGTGATCTCTCATCATAAAGTTTTCATTTTACCAAAAAGTCTCCGATTTTTTTTTTTTTTTTGCAAAGGTAGCGAAGAAAAACACCGTTACAAGTGAACATGCAAATTTGTTTAGACTGTCTCTGTGATGGAGACCGTCGCACCCACCGGTTTTAAAGCGGCGAAATTCACTCTTTTTTTCAATTTCTAGAGCGTTCGTGTTTGTTTTTCTATTGACGCGCACCCTTAAAACTATATGTATTAAAAAAGAACATTTCAAAGAGTAGTATTACCTTGAGAGTCTGATGAGGTCCAGAAATTTGTTCAACTAGACGTAAAATTTCCATTTAGGCTCCAATCGGCATAATATCCGTTGTTTTGTGTTTCTGAACGAAGATTCATTCTATTTCGGTTGTTATTTTCAAAACAGTCTTCTCGCATAATAAACACCGAAGTAGATTCTCTATTTTGGTCGTCTGTGATTGGCTGAATAGTAAGATCTCTCTCTCAAAAGAAAAAGAGTGTCTCAAAGCGTGACCTCCGAGGCCAAAAAAAAAAAACAGTATGGAAAATTCCCGTTTTTTCTAAGTCTTATGATTGTTCAACGGAACGTTATGCCGAGCATGTTGTAAGCCTAAATATGCTTACCGCAATTTTCCTTCCCCTCCCTGGTGAAAAAAAATATAAGAAACATGAATTGATCATCTACCAGCTACTACCAAATGGATCGCACTAAGAAGGAAGAACTTACAAAATGTTTTTGTCCAAAAAACAACAACAAAAAAATCCAACTAATGCTGCTTTCTAAAGTCCAGTTATGAAAACCTCGCCGCAAGCACAAGAAGGCGAGTAATTAATGTATACTTATTTATTTTTTTTTTCAGGAATATTGAGAGTACTTTACTGAATGAATTCACGGCGAGAGATCCGATTGAATTGTGTCGGTCGCCTTAAAAGCTTCCGCTGTTGAATATTCTTCGCATATTTCCCGCAGTCAGCTTTTCCACATTTGTTCCTGATACAAAATTTCGCTTAGATTGGAATAGATCTTAGAAATATTTTAAACACTTTATTACGTAACTGAAGTATCAGCTGTTGTTTTTCCTTCTTGCCCTAGTCAATCCACCAAGCGAGACATTACCTCAAAACAAAGCGACCTATAAAACAATTGGCGCAGTCACGGTATCAATGCGTGAAGCTCTTAGGCGCACATTTTCTCGGTAAAATTCGACTATGTATCTCATCTTAATGATATATCTTATCATGTTTACACTATCGCTCAGTTTTAAACAACGTGGGAGAGTCTGAGAATCGCGGTTAGCCAATTGGATCACGGCGCGATGTCACTTATGGAGTAGTTCACTTTGCAACGTTTTCGTGAGGTATCTTAGACCCTAATTTTTTCACGGATGTAGTTAAGTGGCTTCCCTACGTCATAGGTTTAACACAGTCATCCTCCACATTGAAGAACCTTTGATGAAAATTTGCATAGTCACGATGGAACTAATCAAGGGGGAGGGGACAGGGTTTTTGCCACAGGAACGGCACATAGGTTTTTGATAAATTGAGCCAGGAAAGTGTATCTTTTCCTTTTGAAGTGTGTATCGTCGGAAATTGATGTTTAATTTTCGGGTAGCAACACGACGACATGCGTGTTAGTGGATCAAAGCTTTGCAGGTCGTATTGATTGCCCGCGCATGGTCAGGCAAGGCACTCTGTTCGTTTGGCAATTATTACTTAATTTAAGAAACAGATTTGTGGGTTCTTGAATTGTCGATCTTCTGGTGTACTAGTAAACAAAATGCGTTGAAGTGTCTTTACCACATTTCACTTAACTTACAATACAATTTGAGCCAAAATCAAAATTTTCCTTTTTTATGACCTCACTCCACAGGGTAACCTCACCACTTTAAGCAGGAAGGCTTTCTCAAAAGAATAATATTTTTGGATATTCATCAAGAAAAACTGAAAATATTCACCTCCAGGTACTAGTAATCACCGGGTTTGGAAGTATTTCAGCTTTTAAGGCTTCTAATGACTCAAGTTTCTGGCTTTTTGAGTTTTGTTGATAGTCTCTGATATTGGTCCTAGCAGCAGCTAATCCGGTTAAACTCGTGGTTCACCTTTATCTCTACTGTACCGGCTTTTGTTTTTAGTAAATTTGAAAGTGCTGCGACACGAATTTCTAACAGTAGTTCTGCATTGCTTGAAATTCTGCACTTCACCCGATATACAACTCACAATTAATTGTGGATGGATTTTAATCAAATCTGCGAGAACTCGATGGAACTTTTCCGGCTCATTCCTATGTTCAAATGATTGAAGAGGAAAACACTTTGGGTACATTACACCTGACGAAACATAATTTCTAAATCAAGAATTATGATTGAGGCATGCACTTTTTACTACTGAATGAACGGCTAGACACTTCAGTTGCCTTCAAATGTCTTCCTCTCCAAATTTTTAGGAGAAAAAATATAGAACTTAACGGTACCGATATTTTATAGCTTCAAAATACAATTCGCGTGTAGTTATGGAGGTAAATGAAACAAGAATACTCAGAGCAGTCTTGTTCTTACCTCGCCACATGGCTTAACACTGGCCAAGAGCTGCATGTTCCAGACTGGGTCTCCACGACACTAAGCGAAGAGCCTACTTAAACTGTCAGTCTTATAATAAGTTGGCAGCAATTAAAATGCATAATATTTGCATTTCAATTAAGTTTTCGCGTGCCATTGTAAGAGCAGCGAAACGCTTTCAACCGGAACGTAGTAATTAAATATCTAAAAATATATTTTTTTTGATTGCTAATAGGATCCTCTGAAGCATATAAAATTCTTGGTCTTGAATTCATTGGTTAAATTCCAAGGCAACAATTCTTGTTAAATTGTTCTTAGCCTGTCGTCATTTATCATCGAGTTTAAACAAATGGGTCTAGCTTTCGGCTAGCTTTGCGTGAATATTCTTTTAAGAGCGTTTTTGTAATTAGTTTCCACGCACGAAAAGTTATTTCATCTTTGCAAAGTCACCGAGCAAACATTTCATTAACACCATTCTAACTGTCGTTTTATTATTTAAAACATCGCGTGACTAAACGTAGAAAACCATTTGAATGCAATTGGGGAAGTGACATGTGGCGTGAGTTTTTGAATGGCTTACCGTTGGAAGCGTGCATTCCAAGACATCATCCATAGTTTTTTTAGAGTTTCATTTGTTTGTGATTCCTTCTTTTTGAGCCTCTTAACGGCGGTGCCTCTTTGAACCTATAAAAAGGCAACCTTTTCCTACTCCTAACTTGAGTGCATCCTCGAGGAGTTTGTCTCTGCCGGAACGGCAATCTGTCGAAAACGTGCACGATATCTGAAAAATATTAGTACATCAAATGTAATTGATGAGCATTGCAGAAATTTTTGGTAACTTCTTCGAGAGTTCCCGAGCTAATTTTATTGCTAGGCTAAAAAAAGTATTTCAAAGTTAACCAAACAACTTTATTGACTGTTTTCCGAGCGCTTTATCCGGTTTTCAAAGAAGTGATAACTAAGTATCAACAAATTTCTTAATAATCTCTGTTACATTGATCTGTTGCCACAGTTCAATTGATTTTCCTTTTCCTCTATTTTTTTTCGCTGTTTGTCAAAAAATGCAGGTGAAATAACCCCATCTTCTCCCTTATAAGCTGAGAAATAGCTTTTTTTCCCAATAAAAATTTGCCCCAATAAGTTTAGAATAGCTTTTTCCCAATGAAGTTTGCCCTTATAAGTTGAGAAATAGATCCAGTATGGGCTCGAAAATATCGTTCTTAAATCGCTGACGACTTTCCAGTTTTAGCCTGGTCAATTTTGCTTTAATGTCGGCTTGCTGCTTCACTTAAAAACATCTGTAAGTCCTTCAATGTTAAGTGACTTACAACGACTAAACTTAGCCAACTTGACTCTCATTACTACCCTAAGTGGTCAGCCGGCCTTTATGTTTTTCTTTGGAACTTCTGTTACGTAAGACAGAGAGGATGACTCAGCTGTTAGCTGATTGCACTATTTCCTTTTATCGTCAATGGTCAATGAACTGAAGCCATGTCCGGTTGAATGTCCAGTGAAGTGATTGATTGATTGACTGATTGACATTATGAATGGCAGACGTCTGGAACTGTTGTGTCATTACTTAGCATCTTTAATCTTGCGTCTAACGTGTGACTTATTAAACACTTAGCCGTTTCATTCTCGAATAAAATTTAAGATGTTTTTTTCTTTTTTTTTTACACAAATCCCAGCTGAAAAAGTGAGAAACGGAACCAAACTGATCTTCCCATGCTGTACCTTTAAATAGCACTTCCTGCTCTTAGGATTGTGGTTTTGCGAAGGTAACTCTTTGATCAAAGACCCTTTGTGTTCAGAGAACGCAGCGTTAGCATATACCAATGAAACGTGACCTAGAGCATGTGAAGTCTATAAATCTTCTCTAATCCGTGTGCGAGAAATCTGCCGTTTTCAACGTGGTGTGCTTGTACGTGAAGCATCTCGTTGTCACGTGATACCTTACCTCCCGTATGCGGCCACCCAATGAGTTAGATCGGGCCTCTCATGTGACTGGTTTTACTTATCGCACTTAACTAACTTTTAAAAACTTTAGTAAAAGTCGATTTTTTATTGTGGGCGTCTGGCCAGTTAAATAAGAGATATGCACTTAAGTAGGTGCGACTGTTAATTTTGGTGTTGTTCGTAAATGTCGATAAGTATTTTTACTAATATTTTAAATATATATATATATATAAATTATATTTGGTGTATATAATGTTTCTGTGATCTTGCCGTAGTTGTACACAAAACTGAAATCATCGATCTTTCACGGTCATCGATCTTTCTCATCCAAATACATGATTATCAATTGATTTCAACCTCGTTCCCAGGGCCTTTTCCCTAAAAGGCCCTGAGAACGAGGTTGCAATTGATTTCTTTTGATAGTATCAACACAACTTCATGTTACCAGGTAATGAAAAAACAGACTACATTTATAGATTCCCTTAACTTGTATTTTGATGTGTATGGCGACTAGAATGGTTCTCATTACAAAAAAAAAAAGCGAAATTCAAATTACTAAAGACAGTTTAAGAACAGTTTTTTTTCATGAGAACTTGCTGTTTAGAAGAGAATACTGCTTTGGCATAAGTTTTAAGCAGCCTTTGTCATTTGCGATGTTAAGGTTATAACAAAGCTAAACACCATCACTTGTTTGGCGTCGTGAAAATAAAGGACGTATCTTAACTGTAACGATTAAAGAATAAAATAATCTACTTTTTAACTAGGACCCTTGCAAAAATCAATTTCGTTGAGTATGTTTGACTGAAAAAAAAAGTGGAGTGCTATAAGTTATTTCTCTTTTCTGTGAAAACACTTAACCTGCACCGAACATCTCTCCTGATAGAGATACGTGCCGTCTATCTTCAGTAAGACTGCAATTTTACATTGGCAATGTAGAAAGAAATACTATGGACTAACATTTCTTTTATCTAGGCCTAGGAACAATACTCACAGTTGCTGCGTTGTGTACCTTCAGCCTTTTCGCCTCGCTCAGTTCGGATGGATGTTAAAACGCTCAAACACACTTAAATATTTAAATCGGTTGTATTACATATATTCTACTTGTTAGGTCTGCAGGATTAGTCATTAGATTAGATTAGAGAAATTATTACGCAAGTGGAGGCATCTAAGTATCACACCCTTAAATAAATGATACACTGATAGTTATTGTTCAAGTTATGGTCCTCTAGGTCCTTGTGTATAATGCAAATTAATCATCTTTAAGTGCCAAAAGTCCCTAATTTACTACAAATTTTGCAGCCAAAACTCTGATCAGTTTTTTTCGTTATCATCGCTTTATGATCTTGTAATATTCGGTTTTGTGAGGAGAGATAACTGGGTATTTTTTTATTTCACTGATGCCAGATCTAAGAGAGCTTGCTTGTATTTCCTCGGATCCTGCGTAGACCTCTCTGATGCGTAAGCTGCGGGCTAGTTTTGCATTTCAAACGCCCTTTAATAAATGCCTTTTGCCAAAAAATGAAGTCTCTTTCGAAATTAAGTGGCAACAACTTCAAACCATCGAATAGACTTCAATCAATTTTATGTTGAAAAACCCTACAGCACTAGATAAACTCGTAATGAGAAACGTAGCTTCTTTTTTTCAAGACATGATATTTGGCTTTTATAATCAGTGCACATACCTTGTGAAATGCACGGCAGTAGACTCTAGGTACAAGGCAAAGTAGTGTTAAAATGGTTATTAAGTCTCCACAAGCTCCAAAGAAAAACAGTCCACAATCACACTTACACCAAAAGTGTACCTGCTTTTGTTTGGGATTTTGAAATAGGTTATTAAATCTGTTTCAGCGCACATATCGTTTTTCTTTATGTTCTTTAATTGTCCACAACAACGAGCAGATATCAGGTCGTATCACACGCAAACATGATGTTACATAAGCTATAAACGATAATATCATTCCTATTAAGGACATGTCGTGTGTAGAATCTCTTTCTAGGCTCTATATAAAAATTCAGGAAACGTTTATTTCGTGGAATGTTGAAATCTTTGAGGACTCCGCCTAATCCGTGAAATTTTGATGCTTGTTAGCTGCGAGAATGATCTAAGAATGCCGACAACTCATCAAGTATTAAGTGGTTACCTCCCATTTCCGATTTCTCTCGAAATCGTGTTTCGTTTTGTTATAGAAATCTTTTTAGGGAGTCAGTGTTTTGACTGTTTAATGTTGTTGGTCGGTCGTTTGTTGGAGAATACAAGTCATAGATTCAATCTTCCTGTGAGATTATTTACACGATCTGAGCCACGGGTGTAAATTTCAGTGATATTAAAGCCGAAAGGCACACACTATTAGGGGAATAAAAGGATTATCGCTGCGATTTAAAACGAATCTTCTTTAAGTCACTGAACGTCCGTGTTCCAAGGTACTAAAACAGTAAAACTTGTCGGAAATGAGGGGATTAAGAAATCTTTTCGGTTATTCCTGTCTGGTTCTCACGAAAAAAAAGAAAAGTACAAAAACCCGCTGCAGATCAATATCCTTTTACACAATAGTTCTAAAGATCCAACCGTAGAGGGATCACGTATCTTATCTTTGAACGTGACTCACAAGTGGACAAAGATCGTATCGCAGGTCTATCACCTTATTACTTCTTCGTCTGGGGCTTAAAACTCTCACTTGGCTGAGTCCGTCCGTTTCCGGTTCATTTTTTTTTTTTTTATTATTATCATGCACTAAAATAATTGAAATTCTCCACTCCCCTTTTTCTTTTTGCTTTCCTCAGTAATTCATCTCAAAGCACAATATGCATTTTAAAAAATAAACTAAAATGTAATGTAAAGGTATTTCTTAAGTTAACGTTCATTACACTTTTACGTTGATATGAAAATTATTGCTGAAAGTTCTTATTTTAGCATAATTATATGATCTTCAACAACTGAAGTAAACTGTGATTAGAAATCTGTGCACGGTGATCGAGGTTTCTGCTTTTCCATTATATTTAATTTTTCTTGCCCACTGAAAAAACACTTATACTACGCAATCGGGAGAAGCCATTAAAGTGTAATTTCCTAGTTCTACAACAGTCTTGATGTTGCTTTAATGTAATAATTTTCATCAAAATTCTAAACCGCGAGCAACTCTACTAACATGGTCCTGTATGGATAGTATTGCCCCGCTTGAACCGAACGGATTCCAAGTTCTAGAAAGTTCTGTTAGCAGGTATTGATACTTCGAGGACCTGTTCCGTTTGTTCTCTATCGTTTTAAGTGGCTTTAGATGTAAGAGGTTCTGGAGAGAACATTCGCTACTCCAATTTTAAGAATCTCTTTAAATTCATGAACGCGACTACCTCAAAGAATACTTTTTTGTATATTTTTCTTACCAGGGAAGTGACCCCCGCGCTTAGGACTCATTAAAAGCTGGATTTCTGTGGGTGAGAGTTAAAAAATATACCAGTGTATTTTTAACACTAATAGCTTCATGATACTGATTAATAAGGTTTATTTAAGAGTGATCACTTTACAGTCCCGTCGCCCTTACCTTAACAGCCTTAAATTCATCGTAAATTTTAGCCGGCGATTTTAGGTCCGACCGATGTTGGTTATTAATACCGGTTTCAACCATTGTAACTATTAAAAGTATTGCTTCTCTCACTAAAGAGTTCTATTCCGGGACACCCCCCACACTGCATCTTGCACCCCTGGGTGAATGCATTGGAGATTACCATATACCAGAATGAACCAGAAGAGGTTATCAGGGGTGAACCACACCCTGTG